GTATGCGCTGCAACGCGGTAGTATTCGCTGACCGATAAATGGCACTCGCCTAATGGCGCGTTTCGCTCTCGATGGCCGATAATGAATGTCGCGCGGAATTAATCGATGCCCGTACGAAATTGCAGTCGCTAGCGCAAAGGACGCGTCCTGGATCCCGAGCGTCGACGTAAACGCCGCGGATACACACGGTGAATATGAACGGCAGCGGGCATTAGTCGCGACAGACCGCCTTGGAAATCGAATGATAGCCGTCCTTAACGTTGACAGGGTCAGGTATAAGAAGACGCACGTCGAACGGCCGCAGTTACCGCTGGGTGTAAAAAGTTTCTACTTCGCGACGTGTCCGGCCACGTGACGCACACACAGACACACACACACACACACACATATACACAGGGGATACACACGGTCGTGGTCGCCGCTTAGCGTTTTCCCGCATGCATTATTTCGCGAGAGTATTCCTCGAGTATTATTGTTAAAGCGACCGCCGCTGCTCCTTGACTGTCTCCCTCCCCTCTCCCTCCCTCCTCTTTTCGCATACTCACTATGCGCGAGTTAACGTTTAAAAGTGGAATGCACTCTCAGAGGGGCGAGCTTTCGACTCTCGCGGTTTCCAGCTGCAAGTGAGCGTCGGTGTTTCGCGGTGAAAGAAATCTAGAGCACCGAAAGTTCCAGGTTCTGGTCAGCAACTGCGGAATTGCGAGGCAGCCTTGAAAATGAATAACGAATGTACACAACACACATACACACACACACACATGCGCTCGGCATTCGGACTCATCGATCTGCACGGGGGTAGTCATCGGACATGGCTGGCCATTTATTTCGACCACTTTCAACAATCGATTCGTCGTCGACCGCGGAAAAGTATGTTTACAGGCTCCTCGTGCGCGCTCGTTCAAGCAGGTAGTTTTGTTTGCCGTCGCGGTTGACAGCGAAAAATAACGATTCGATGTGGAATTATCGTCGAGAGGGTCGGCGAAGGTGGCACGACATCGCGCAGCACGAAGGAGGAGGCAGCTCGAAGAAGCTCATGAATTAAGGGGACTGGAGAGGTCAGATTACTGAAAAATCGTGTTTGTTTTTTGATAATATTTTGTGACGGACTGAATAAATTTAAAAGAATGAAAATTTTTGATATATTTATATAACATATGAAGAGTAGAAAAATTTTGCTTATTAACAAATATTCATATAAATATACGTCCATTTAAATTTTAAATGCGTTTCTCTCGAAATTTCATTGTTCAACTTTTTGCAGTGATTTCTCCGAAACTGAGCTTCGTATCGATTTGAAATTTTAAAGCAATAATATTTGTTCATCTGGCTGTCAGATGAACCAACTCCGTCAAAATATTTCATTTCGAGATATTAATTTTTTTGTTATAAAAGAACTGAAAAATTTGAATTTTTTCCTAATAATAGCTGCCATTTTGTTAATTCTGTTCGATTTTTTTTCATAGTGCTTCACTATATGATAATGATAAGACTCCTGAAGATTTCTAGCTAAAATTCGCTCTGATCGGATCACCGAGAACCGAGATAATACTGCAAATACGACAGCTTGAAAAAAAAGGAGAATATATTTCAGCTATATATATCGTATATTTATATGAGTATTTGTTAATAAACGAAATTTTTCTACTCTACATGCTGTATAAATATACGTAAAATTTTCATTGCACATTTATTCAGTTCATCGCAAAGCTATTGTCAAAAACAAGCACGATTTTTCAGCAATCTGACCCTCCAGTCCCCTTTAATCAACGCGTTGTTTCGGCCGTCTCGTTAAAATCCAAAGCTCGCGAGATTTTGTTCATCCATTTATTCAGCGAGAAAAGAAAAGGATATCGAAACAATTCTTTTAATATTCCAGATAAATTATATAAGATATCCGGGATCTGATAGTCTGTCGGTAACAAAAAGTAGAACACGACGAATCTTTCTCGAAGATTTTCTTGTCTATCGCGTAAAAACGTCGCGAAAGTTCTCCCGTGGATGAGTGTCTTATCGGGTGTCCGACGGGAAAATTGATATTTTCCGCTAATTGCTAACAGGTTTCTCCATTGGAATTTATTGACGCATCGCGAAACTCGCCGAAACGGAGACGCTCGCAAAAACACTGCCTCCCGCCGACTAATGAACAGATCGAAGATCGGCTTTTTCAATTTCGCCCACCAGATCGCTTCGCGATTAAGCTCGGGTAATTAGCTCGAGCCCGGTATCGGGACAATCAAACGCTCGCGTGCAGCGCGCATTACTCCGATGCGGTTTCTAATTGAGGACGCCGCTCGTGTACGTCACTCGTGTACTCGGAAAAGTGTCACTCGCGGTGAGAACTCACATCGCCGGCTCGGCGCTGCGGCTTCTCGTCGACGACGACGAGCCCTCTCGGTTTCTCGTCGGGACTGGCAGATAGTCCCGTCGCTACCTCGCAGTTATCGGAAAAAAATACAGGGCATCCAATTTCCGGCGGCGCACTGCAGCCCGAAAGCAATATCGCGACGATGATGTTCCGCCGGACCAGCCGACGCGCTAAGTCCGACGTCGAATATTTTTAACGATGTCGACGCGAAATTGCTGTCTCCGTCTCCGTCTCGTCTCTGCCGGACGCGAGAGACGTCGACGAAATTATGTCTCTGGGGCTCTCGAAGCATGGAGGAGCGCCGACATCCCTCGATCGACTCTTATTTCCGCGCTCCGATATTGGAATGGAAATTGTCGAGAGCCCTTTCAATCGCGCCCGCGCGGCAGAAACGGAAAAAGAGAAAGAAAAAGAGACAATCTCGACGAGTTTAGAAAAGAGTACGTCGTGGGGAAACAAAAGGCCCATCCCAAATTACGGAACGTTCCACTTCTTTCCTCCTTCTCTTCTTTTCGTTGTCTGTGGCGGCGAGCCATTGTTTGTCGAAAGTCTATCACGGACGGATAGATCGCACGTCTGCGAAAACATATCACTCGGCATAAGTGTGGGTCGGAAGTTTGATCGGAAGCGACGTACACGCGCGAGCACATCGATGTGTGTTTCACCTATGATATCCATTTTTCGCAAAATGAGACAATGTAAGTATAGTCGGGAGGGAGGAAGAGATAATATTTCCGCCGTGTATAAAGCTCCGCGCCCGCGGAGTTCTCGTTCGTGATCCTTCATCTGTCTCAATTCCCTTCCCGCCAGAGGGAGATCAGACAATGTTTTTCGGCCGTGTGGATATACGCGGCTGTGTGCAAATATATGTGTATAGATATAAAGATGGCCGTACATACACACACACACACACACATGCGCGCGCGGAGATGTGCACAAACATGCACACCGAGTACGCGCGCGGCGCACACACGTATCCTACATTATCTCAAATTCGTATTTGTTTCTTCTCCCGCGTTTTATACAGCCCCGAGTTGGCAATTGAGATTAAACCCCAGGAACCGCGTCCTCCGTCCTACTTACGTGCGCGCCGCATTTTTCGTTTCTCCGCGAGAAACGCGATGCATCCCTCCGCGCGTGGCATTAAAGTTCTCTCGCTCCCGCGGGGGAGCGTTTCATCGCGCGCGACACAAAAGAGAATCGACCTCGATCGTCGACGGCGGCGGCGCGTCGGCGGTATCGGCTCGGCAAATGGAATGATGCAATGACGTCGCACTCGCGAGAAAGAGGATCAACGCGCATCGAGAGTTGCCGCTTCTGTGCCGCCGCCGCCGGCGCGGCGTTTCCCGCGTGAAAATTCGTCGGAAACATTGGGGGGGGGGGCGTAATCGTCGGGAATAATTCGCAGCCCACGGAATTTTATTGCGTATTTCACCCCTCCCCCTCAGGCCCCTGGTCTTCCCCACCGAAACGTCGCGGAGGACGTTTCTCCTCGAGGAGAAGCTTCGAAAAATCGACGCCGCAGTTCACCAGACGAATTCATTTGCTCGAGCGAATCGAGCTCGTCCGCAAAATAGATTTATCCTGCGGCAATCCCTCTCTATTTCGTTTTCTCTCTCTCTCTCTCTCTCTCTCTCTCTCTCTTCCCCGATTCGCTCCCTCTCTATCTTCCTCTCGGCGGAATGTTACCGAAATATCCTGCGAGATGAGAATGGAGCGAGCTTCCTCGTATGACGTACGTTCCGCGTTGGCAACGCTCCCTGACGACTGTTCGATTTTCGCGAATGTCGATTCCAATCCAATCACGTGCACGACAGGCTGCTCTCGCATCGTCAACGTATCCTCGTTCGAGGACACGCTGCTGCCTTTACAAGACGCGTGACTTTTACATGGCTCTCGCGAAAACGCGCGCTACCTTTTACAACGCACCTGCACCGGGATTCGTCGTCGATCGCGAACCGCGAGTATCACGCGCCTGGACGTAAACGGTCCCGCGTATCCTGCACGGGTTCAGGACTCGCACCTTCGACTAACATCCCCGCGGCATCCGACGATGGCTTTCGTCGCGTAAGCGCGCGAAGCGATCTCGCGCGACCGCTGTTTGGAATACTTGTACACGCTGTGCGCTCGAATTTTTCCCTCCGGCGTCGTTCCTAAAATTCCTGCGCTTCCCTTCTACCCTCCCTCCCTCCCTCCCTCCCTCTCTCTCTCTCTCTCTCTCTCTCTTTCCTTCCTCCATCCCTCTTTTTTACCGAGCATCGATTCCCCGGATCCGACGGGTGTTACAGTCAAAGCACGTATACACGCACGTTGTACAATCGGGAACACGACGTGGGGTGACTCCGCGCGCACACGGGGGGGTGGCCTCTCTCGTGGCACGGCGCGGCGTGGCGACGACGCCTCGAAGACGCGGGGGAGCGTGGCCGTGCGCGAAAGACGAGGAGATAGGGAGAGAGGGGGGAGAGAGAGAGGGAGAGAGAGAGAGAGAGAGAGAGAGAGAGTAGGTCGACGGCGTGGTCCCGGCCATCGGAGAGGACACCCAGAGGAGGGTGGTGTGGCCCTTTCTCGCCCGCTCCGCTCGTGGTGGGGTTCGCTTGGCGCGGCGCGTCGCGCCGCGCGCGGAGGGTTGGCTCGGGCCGCGTAATCGCATCGCATGCAGTGGCCTGGCGTGAGTCCGCGCGAGCGCGTCGTATCCTGGTTAGTCGGCTACCTGACGGCGGTCTGCATCGTTCTCACTGGGAACGACGACGACGACGACACACGGGTGCTTTGAATCTCGCCCGACGTTGGCGCGTCCCGCGGTCCATCCACCTCCGCGTCGCGTCGTTTACTTCCTCCTCCGCCTCCGCCTCCTCTTCTTCTGATTATCCCGTCCTTTTCTCTCCCGCCCTGACCCGACCCGCCGTCTCATCGCACTCACGCACTCACGCACGCGGGGGCATTATGCGCGCGGCCGACGAGCGCGTCCGCGTCAGCCACGATAGAGACGGCGTCCTTGTCAACGGCGAGGCTGCGAGCAAGTCCCGATCAGCTGAGAGCCTTTGACACACTGGTCGGCAGCCTGATCCTTGGCGCAGCACCATCACCGTCAGCGCTTGGACCTGGTCAACCGTAGCGGCGACTCGAGTTTCCCGAAGGTGCAACGGGAGCATCCTCGCCCCCCACCTCGCCTTCCCGTTCACGGAGCCTCGTATCTCGCCCCGACCTAAATCCCGTAGACCTGATCCTCGCGGACTTGACGCGAGAGCTGTTGTCAGCTTGTAAGCTCGTGGAACGGGGGATGCCGATCTCGCCGATCCCGCGAGCGTGAGTCTCCACTGGTGGTAAGATTTCTCTCCCGCTCTCCCCTTGTCGTCGTGCCCTCCCCGTCACCCCCTTGGCTCTGCCTGTGGAGGCCGACCTCGGCTCATTCGTTCGTTCGTTCGTTCGTTCGTTCGTGGGTTTGCTCGTTTGTTCGTTTCTTCTCTCCTTCCTTTTCCCGCCGGCAGCCTCGATAGTATTTGCGAATCGAAGCGTTCTCCGGGGAAGAGATGACAACCGGCGTCGATTTAAATCGTAAGTCTACCACTGCGCCCGCGACCAGCGCGCTTTCTTCATGGCACACCTCCGCACTCGCCGATACCGATCATTCATGGAATTCGCGCGCACAATCGTTGCAAATGCTGGATTTGCCGCAAGCCGCAACGGAGCTTAATCCGCCGGAAGACAAGCTCTACTTGCCGCTGCTTGCTGGAGAACTCACGTGACCCCCGCATCATCTTGTTCCCTCGGCCATGCTTTTCTCGCAATTGCCCGTCGCTGAAGAATGAAATTGCACTTAGCGCTTATTCCCCGCTTAATTTTCACGATCGCTTAGCTGCTCGCACAGATCCACTTGGTAGAGATCGTAAAGCGCGTATTTTCGCGACGCGAAAGGAACAGACGTCGAGAGGAAAGGAATTTTGGACGCGGGCCGTTCTCGCGTGTCGAGCTCGTCCATCGAGGATGATGTCGAAGTAAAACGAAAATGCAAGCGAGGAAATGGCAGGTATTTCCTGAGGGGGGGCCCTCGGTGGAGGAAAATTGAAATTTGCGTTCGCGTTATTTTCGAAAATCAAACGGCAAGACGGCGGCGTTTCCGAGAACACGCCCTTCATTCGCTCGTGCCGATTTTCGCGAACGGGCTCGGCACTTTTCGACGATGAGACGTGCGAATCAAATTCCATTACAAAGAACGGTAATACGTTTTCGTACCCGCGACGGAATATGGGGCGCGCACTCCAACCGCGGCGGCGACGACGACGACGACGAAAGTTCCCGAGCGCGAGATAATGCAGTCAGCGGTTTCGCCTCGGGAGGAACGTCCAAGTTTCCCTGCGAATTTGAATTCCCGTGCTGGATCCGATACGGGATAGCGACGGATCCATGCACGACCGCGTCCGAAACTTTGTTAAGATACGACAGGGTGAGAGCGAGAAGAGAGAGGGAACGGAGAGGGGGCAGGATAGGATGTCGTCTGGAGTGTCAGCGGAGGACCTGACGTCAGTCTCGTCATCAACTTCGAAGGCCGCGTTTTTCCGACGTCGCGTCTCACGAAAGCCGGCGGAGGAACGTCCGTTTCGCGTCTCCACGTCGTGGCTGTTTTCGTCGAGAAGGAAGAGAGGAGAGAGAGCAGAGAGCAGAGAGAGGTTCGCGCGTTAGCGGTCGGTCGCCGTTTTATTAAGTCCAAACAGCGGCGTGTCCGCAACCGGATACGACATAGACGGTTCAGCATTTATGCGGTTAACCCTCAATTATCTCGACACGACAGTATGTTTAGCGAATCTCTCTCTCTCTCTCTCTCTCTCTCTCTCGCTCTCTCTCCCCCCCTCTCTCTCTCTCTCTCTCTTTCTCTTTTCGTCCTGCCGGTATTTCGCGGTACTTTCCGCAAAGAGCTTTCCACGATTCGCGTACGTGCTTCTCTAACGTGTCGCGTATATTTTTTATGTACGAGCACGTCGCACGGAAAAGTATGAACCTCGGGACGAGGCAGGTTATCGCAAAGCCGAGGGGCTGCAATGACACGCAATGACAAATTACGAGCGGTCCCGATTGTACGCAAATCTGCACAGGTACGGTTTTACTCGAGCAGAAATCAAATATTTTATGCCTGATTTTTTTTATGCCTGATATGGCATGGCTAGGTAAACTATAAGAAGGCGTTATGAGTGGTCCTTATCCGGCCGGAATGTGGCAATTGTCTTGCAATATTTTCTGGCAATTACAGCCTGACTGCAGCGATGACGTCATTATTCGGATGCCTGATTTGGTGTCCTGATGGATCAGACATCGGGTTTCTCGATTTCAGGCAGTTTTATCAGGGCATTATGTGGCAGCAGTGCGTTTCACTTCTTATTGCGTGCCGGATCCGATAAAGTTATCCGGGCCCTAAATAAGTTTAAAATTTGGAAGCCGGATGGGATTTTAATACGGCCGTGGAACGATGTTCTGCTCGGGTATTTGCAAAGTCACAATGCATAGTCGGTCTCGCGGTAACCCGTCGGCGGGGAAATGTGGGACGCGGCCCGCTCGCGTATCGTATTCTCGTTAGCGCGGCGGGCACAATTAATCGCTAATACAAATTGTTGTTATTCCCCGAGAAGCGAGACGTAAATCAGCGCGGAAAGTCGGACAGGTATCGTATTTGTTACAATAGCGGCTCTACGTGCGCGCCGCGCACGGCGGAATTACAACCCCCCCGTCACCTTTCTCCTTGTCGTTCCCGTAATTTATGCGGAGGCACCTAGCATTGTGATGTATGCGCTTGCATTATACGCGGGTAACGAGCCGAAACGACGAGCTCTCTCTCTCTCTCTCTCTCTCTCTCTCTCTCTCTCTCTCTCTCTCTCTCTCTCTCTCTCTCTCTCTCTCTCTCTCTCTCTCTCTCTCTCTCTCTCTCTCTCTCTCTCTCCCCCTCCCTCCCTCTCCCTCTCTCTCTCTCTCTCTCTCTCTCTCTCTCTCTCTACCTTGCAAGGAGCTCCCACGCTCTATGTAGATTAACGCTTCCCGAGAATGGACAAGATCGATCCTCCCCGAACAAAACTCGGCATTGCGGCGAAAAACTGTGCGATCCGCCGCACCTTCTCCGTCCCTCTTTCTCTTTCTTTCCCTCTTTCGTGCCTCGCCATCGCGAATGTTATCTCGCCCCGTGAGTTTCTCCTATCAGATGTGTGCACGGAAAAGGGTGCGAGGCGAGGGGGGAGGGTGGAATAGGAAGGCTCTACCACTTTGAAATCGGACGATCCTTCGCGACGCGAGAAGGATCGCATCGCCGACGACGCGAGCACGTACGAAGCGCCTGACTCGAACGATTTTTTCCAACAATTACTTAGGCGATTGTACGCGTATCCAAGGATATATCGCCGGGAGAAGGAGGAGGAAGTAGCGGCGGCGGCAGTCGGTAATCGGAATTACGTGACGCGAATTCGAACCGAGGGGATGAAGGATAAAACGCCTCGTTGGCGTTGCACGCGACAATCGATTTTCCCGTGCTCAATGTTAACACGCGAGTGTACACAACGAGGGCGAAGAGAAAAGTATCGATCGTCCTGCTTGACCTTAACCTTCCCACTCGCCACTCGTCGAGTGCTTTTTCTTTGGGCTACATAAAGAATTTCTGACACACTATATCGGCCCGGCGATCTTAATCGCCGGAAAGCCGCGCGACGCAAAAGCATCGGAGCGAGAGAGAGAGAGAGAGAGAGAGAGAGAGAGAGAGAGAGAGAGAGAGAGAGAGAGAGAGAAAGAGACATTATCCGCGCGCGCACGACCGCCGAATTTGCCGAGAGAAAGAATCCCGTCACGAAGGGATATCGCGCGGAGAGATCAAGACCGACCGTGAATTACGGGCTCGTTCGTTTCATCGAGTATCATCGAGCGAACCTTCGTCATATCGAGTCCCGACTCGAAAAAGAGGCGAATAGACAGATGAAAGCGTTTATTGACGGTCCCGGCTTTACTCTCTAAGAGCGTCATGGAAATCAACGTAACGAGAGAAGAGAAGAAAACATGTTTGTAATTTTGCAGATACGGTCAGAGTGATGTCGAGGTTACTGCTGATGCCGGTGGTAGATAAGCAAATCATCACGCATAAACAGAGAGAGAGAGAGAGAGAGAGAGAGAGAGAGAGAGAGAGAAAGAGAGAGAGACGTATAAAAAAGAGACGGCAGCCGTCATCTCTGAATGAAAAAAGCCCGAGAACATTTACGAATCTGATATCTCGCAGTCGCCGTCGGGCTGAAAACTCGGAGTTTTTTCTCTCTCTCTCTCTCTCTCTCTCTCTCTCTCTCTCTCTCTTTTTCTCGCGCTCGAAATTAGCTCTCGCCCGCGGACACGCGGATAACCGGGATAGCACGCGAGGCCCTAACCCGAGCACGAAACGCAAATTATTTTCATGAGCGCGATCACGAAACCACGCGGAGAAATTGACGGTCGGCTACGAATTCTCCGGCACAGGAAACACACACCTCGGCGAAATGGCGCGGAAACGCGAGCGAGAGCTCGCGGGATACGGGATTTAAGCGGCTAGAAGCCATTTCGCCGAGCTTGATTACACAGTACAGAGAATTGCAAATTAAATCCGATCCGAGGGAGCCCATGATTTAACACCACATCCTTCCTACCCACTGAGTATTCTCCAGATGCGCGCGGCAGTCCGTTAATTGCCTCGCCGCGCGATTGTTATCCGCGCGCGCGCGCTATCGGCGCGAGATTGAACACGGCGGAACTTTCGACGGTTAAGCCGCGCTAATATCTCCTACGGCGAACATCTGTGGCAGTCCGTGTGTGCAAGATGCACACGAGATAGTTCCACGACAGCGCGCAGATCCGCCGCAGCGGCGATCGATAAAGCGCGCTAAAGCGAAGCTTTCGTAAAGTCTCGAGCCTCACCTTGAGTCTAATCGCCGCTATATTGTGCCGACGAGTCCTCGCGACTGTTGATTATTCGGCTGATCCCCGTCATTTCGGCAGTTTAGCGTATCGCATTTGTCGCGTGTTATATCCAGAGACCAGACACACACACGAAAACGCGAGAGCGACTAATGAGTGTTGGCTCAAGTTTTTCTCTTCTCTTCTTTGTCCGAAGCTGCGTGCTCGGCGATTCCGTCGCCGCCGAGCGTGAAATCGTCCCCCCGCGATAAGTAAAACGCGAACGATTACCCGTTGTTCGCCTCCCCTATTTTCCGTACCAGTCACCAATTGCGAATCGGATTTGCGCGAGCGAACCAGAAAATAACTAGTATTGGATTACCGGCAGGACGGTGTGATCGGGAGAAGGGGGGAGCGCGTAGGAATTATGCGGGATTTATGCAGCTTTCGGACGCGCGTTTATCCGCCTCCATCCGGCTGAAATTCGCGACGGATTTTCGAAGCGCGGCGAAACGCTGCGCGGTGGCCATTCCCAAGAGGGTTACCAAGAGGAAACATATAGACCTCGATTCGCGTGTCTTTCGCGAAATTGGGCTTGCTTATATCTCCGTCGGTCGGGCGTCCCCGACGTATATGAGAGTACTCCGTCCGACCGGATATGCGAGGAA